AAATATTTCTAGATCTTTTTGAAAGACTTCAGAATCGTACAAAATTGAAGGTATTTGAGTTGTCTTACCACATCCAGTGTCCCCACTTACAATCAAGACATTGTTTTGTTTTAAAGCATTAATGATTTCATCTCTCCGCTTGTAAGAAGGTAATGATCTACGAAACTCCTGCAATTCCCGGTACCTCTGATTTTGGGCATTTCCCTGAGGAGCTTTCTTTAATCCTGGTTGTACAACAACCAAATGGCGATTTCTGAGAGGTTTCGCAGCTGTTGCCTTCAATTGACTATACATCTTTCTTAAAAAGGGACCCAACAGCAAACTGATTTCATTCATCCTTGACTTTATATATTCATCAGGAAGCCTTTGAGCACCTTGATATCCATCAATCGTTTTTACACGATCACCATTAAGAGCCGCAATTTCTCGATCTTTTTCTTGATTTTTGATGCTTCCAATTTTTTTTAAGGTTAAGACGCGTTCGGATTTGCATCCCGCTGAGCGATGGTGTAAATTAAAATTTAATGCAATTTCATGTACCATATGACGTTCCGCAGCAGACAAAGTTGGGGGAAATGACATTTCTTCTGCATTGGGATCATCTACAAAGGCTTTCACCATGGCGTAGAGATTTTTTTTTGTCCAGACACCTTCCTCATTACAAATAGATACCTTTAAGTTTGCTACGGCCGTGACTGGGACAGAATTTTGTTCTTGAAAAGGATTCTGATTCACAATCATCCCACGACTGCTTTCATGGCGCATCCTGTCCATCTGATTCCTGCTCGAAAATGTAGTTCTATTACCTTGAGGATGATCTACTGGCACATTCCCAAAGGCGGATGAGTAGTTTCTCTGAGTAAAAACATATCGAACCGGGGGTGTCTGGGAAACATACTGAAACATCCCGTTTTGAACCGCGCCCGGGTAAAGCATTTGTTGCAACTGCGAGACATGAAACGGATATCCAGTCGATATAGTGTTAAGTGGAGGCGCCGCAAAATCGGCAGGATGATTATTTCTTTTGTGTGTCCTTCTACCGGGCATTGGGCACAGATGAATCACGCCTTTCAAAATATATATATATGCTATGAAAAAAAGCAAAAAAAAAAAAAAAGATTAACGCGAGCAAGCGTAATTTTTTGATTAAATTCAGGCAGTAGCAGCAAATATTTTAAAAAGAGTTGTATATGACAAGCACGCCCTTATAATAACCCAAAGAAAAAAAGGGTGCGACAAAAAAATAAAAGGACTCAGAATCACAATTCATAATCCGTATCTTCTGGCGGGTTATCCTTCGGTGATTGATAAAATTCCTCCACTGCATGCATCAGTTCTTCCAAAAGCAAGGAGTCTTTAAGACTCTCATCAATTGTTTGGGATCTTCTAGCATCTGAATTAGTTATTTCACGCATAACAACATCTCTGCAGATACCCAAATCGCATTTATATGATGTAACCATTAGTTCAAGAGCAGCAAGATTACCATACATCCATCTACTCAGTCCGACATCAATAGCAATGACGCTATCGTTACAAAACACTTCCACATGTCCTGATCTCTGGGGCGTATGGCCTACAACTATCCTTTTTGCCCCAATAAAAGAAAGCATTTTTTGAATACCTGTGCAGCGACCATTCGCCGCATCCGTTATCATTTTTCGTGTCCATAAAGGGCCAGAAGTACCAAGAAGAGGGTTTCCGTAATCTTTTTCACGAATCGCCTGCATCGTTTTTTTATTTAGCATCTCCACTCCCACAGAAGCAAAACGCTGATCAATACCAGCATGAACAAAGACGGTCTCCGCGTCAAAATACAGTACATTGAATTTGTCCAACAGAAAACGCCCAAACGTACCACTGGGTTCAAATGCACGCTTACGCAAGGTTTTGCTCAAAAATCCACCCATAGTTTCCGGATGAACATAATAAAACTGTTCTTGAAGATTAAGTAGCTCGTGATTACCTAAAAGCAGCACAATATTATCACTCGTATGATTTGATTTGACCTGTTCAAAAAGAGAAAAAGCCATCTCAAGAACTCCCAAATCATCCTCCCCACGATCTATCAAATCGCCCATCTGTATAAGGGTTGATCGAAGCTTCGTATGATGTCTTTTATGCAACTCAATCTCCTTCTCATCCCACATCGGCTTCCACAACACCTGTTTGTCGGCATTGGAGGAATAAGATACAATACCTGCCATGGATAAAATTTGCCGAAAATTTTCAGTATCACCATGCACATCTCCAACCGCAATAATGCGGTGAATTTCAATTGGTATTGCGTGAACATCACCGCCGGATGCCGTGCCTTCTCCATAGCAGAAAACTACAGGGAATCCTAGAAGAATAACCAGTAACGGCAATAAAAACTCCACCAACCTCATGGAAGGCTTTAAATGAAAGTAGAGCTCAATAAAAGGGTCAAAAAATTTTTACAGTAAGAGAAAAGCAGCAGCACCTGTCATACACTGAAAAAACTGAGATCTCAAACATTTTATATACATAAAAAACAAAAATGAGGTTGAACACTCATTTTTTATGAAAAAGCTCAGACTTCAAACACAGAAAAAAAAAATAGATAAACACCATAGTCAAAAAGAAAAATTTCGAACAAACAACCCCAGGCATAACAACAGCAAAATGAGACATGATCCCCCTTTCCAAGGCGTACTGCAACACGATCCCGCGCGGCCTCGGCAAGCGCCGACAAAATTATGCAGCGTATCCGCCATCACCGCTCGGGCGGCGCTGACTTTGGATAGGTCCCTCGCTCTCAGGACCTTTTCGCCTCCTTTCTCGTAAGAGCGCGGCGTCCAGCAAATATTTTCTTTCTAGTTTTACCAGCGTCTAGCTATAGAACGCCAACTGAGTGCCGAAGAGGTGGTCGAGCAGCGACAAAAGTTTCCTGCTTTGAAGCAACTGCCATTGAGAGAACTTTCCGTGGCGAAGGTCCTGTTCAATGCCCAGCCGTTGGCGCACAGCCAAGGTGCCTGGACATTCTAGAAGCAGATGGTGCAAGGTTTCCTGCGGGCCAATTGGCGTGCTTGTGGAAGCTGGCTGATCCTGTGGTAGCAGAGATCGCCTCCTGGCACTACTGTTTCGATGTCGTGTGGCGTCTGGGTTGTGTGCGCAGCGACTTCTGTGCTGTGCGGTGCTTCTCCGTGTGGGGAAAACCATGTCACAGAAATCGCATTTGAGCTCGGGAAGCGGTGGAGGATGTTCCGGATGAAATGACCGACAGTGACTGACGAGATTCGAGAATCCCGTCAACGTAGAATCACAGTACGGACATTTCTCCTTCCGACGGCGTGTGATGGTCCGTCTCCTTACTGGAGAGACATCTTCCTCCCTTGCCGACGGGGGAACAGCGTCCGTCCCCGGTGCAGTCGGATCGTTGTTAGAGCGCATATATGCAGACTGTTCTGGTGAGATGTTGCAGAAACGGCATTGGTTCGTGCAATCTCTCACAGCCCAGTATAGTCGACCCCAGAGCTCAGATTCGCCGCACCTTGCCCTAGCGAGGTGAACCAGCTCTTGACGGTGAAGAACTTCCTGAGTGATCAGGTCCTTGCCGCTGAGATCGGATGGCCTTGTGCCGCAAAGCAAGTAGCGATGAGTGTCTTGACGAATGGTACTACGCCACTTGTTGGTGAGCTGGGTAGTAAAACATGTCAGCAGATCCGTATGCCATAAAGGTGCAATTGCTTGCTCCGTGTATTGTCCAGTTGCCACAGTCTGCGTCGCATACTGATCTGCAAGCTCGTTAGCATGTACTGCGCAATGTCCGTAACAAAACTGCAGGCGCACGGACCAGCCAGCACACGTCAGTGTCAAAAGACGCTGCCAGATCTGATCCTCCGTCCAGTCTGTTTGACTGAGCGGGCCCTTGTTTAAAGCCGCAAGAAGGGACTGACTGTCTGTAACCACAAGCAGGGTTTTATGCCTGTGTTGGATGCGAGGAATAATCAGCTTCTCCAGGGCAAGGAGCAGCGCGCGGGATTCCGTCCTGTAGCTGCATGGGCGTGCACCGCAGTTTATACTGGCCTTTTCTATTATCTCCGATGAATTGAGGGATGAAAGCAGTATTCCAACCCCGGCTGACTTGGGAACGTCTACACCGCCATCCGTCGCGAGTATCCACGAACGATGGCTGTGCAGCGCTAGAGCCTCTTCGCTGACTCTGCGCTTTTCCCTTGTCAGCTCTTCCTCGTCAGTTATTGAGTGGTCTATCGGAAGTTCCACGCCAATGGTGACCCAGTGAGCGGAGGCCGCAAACGAGGGAGGAATGGAGCTGCGAAAGAACCGCTCTTCGCGTGGTGAGCTCTGAGTGATGCCATAGTCCTTTGTGTATGCGTCTACGAAGGCATATAGCTCGTCCCGAGATAATGGCGAAATGCAGAAACCTGCGCGAGGCGGTGGCTCAGGCGGGGGTCTCCGCATCCAGTCCATCTGACAAGCGCGTGTGTTCTCAAATATGGAGAGCCGCGCGCGCTGGCAGAGGACGTGGAGCGGCGGCATATTAGCCTCTAGAGGTGCGGATTCCGGGTCGACAGTGCTCGGAACTCCGCTGACAATGCGTGCCAGGGTTGCATACGTCTTCTGCATCTCATTCTTCGCTGGATCCGTCGCTACTGCCCATATGAGCTCGCTGCCATAGCGTAATTTGGAAGCACCATATCCAATGACGAACGTGCGTAGGTCATGTGGAGATGGTCCCGCCTCTTTATGCGCTATGCGGCGTAGCTGCGATATCCTTTGCGAAGTGGCAGCGCATTGCTTGGAGGCCGCCGCATTTAGCGTCAGTCGTGGATCGAGATCCATGCCAAGAAGCTTCGTGGTTCGCGATGCCCCCATGGTCATGACTGGGATTTGACATCCAGCCACTACCAGCGGCCAATTTCCTTCACGATCATAATCTGATTCCGTGTGCGTGGAAAGTGTGAACCAAGCGGCTTCACACTTTGACGGGCTAATGGCCAGGCCATTTTCCTGACTCCACGCATGCAGTTTTTTAAGAACCATGTTGGCAGTGGGAATGGCGTCTTCCCGGGACAGCCCCTTAACGATAATAGAGAGGTCGTCCGCATACATGTCTGCTGTGACACCCGCAAAGCTGTTCAGCAGATTGAGAAGTGGGTGTACGTAAAGGGAGAACAAATATGGTCCCAGTACGGACCCCTGAGGAACTCCTCGCAGCATGGGACGCCGATCGCTGTTTCTGTTACCAACTCGCGTCTTCGCGTAGCGACCACATAGAATGTTTTTAGGCCACCTTCTACAATTCACCCCCGGAATATTGGCCAGCAAGCGACTGAGGACTCGATGATCTATGGAGTCAAAAGCCTTGCTGAAATCAACCAACACCAGCAGAGTCCGATGGGGTCTGTAGTGGAGTTGATTACCAATACCGCTCTTCTTGGGAAGGTTCACTTGGAAATAATGATTTCTATTATGCTCCACTTCGTGTATCAGGTGTGCCCGCTGCATCGTCGTGGTGCGCATACTACGATATGCATACTGGTGGGGGTGTGGCGTCCACACCCAGAGCAATCTCTTCAGTAACATTTTCTCAGCAACCTTACATGCAATGGAAGTAAGGCTGATGGGTCGATATGACTCAAGCAGTTCCGGCGACTTACCGGGTTTTAAGAGTGGGACGATGGTAGCGCGTCTCCACTCAGCCGGGATCGCACCGGTCGTCCAGCTGTGGTTAATGCAGCGAAGAAGGAATCGAAGACCCTTTGACGAAATATGTCGTAGCGCCTCACTGTAGACTTCATCCGGTCCGGGGGCCTTGCCACACGGCATATTACGTAGCGCAGCAAGCAGTTCCGTACGATTAAAAGGTGCATCAAGAGGGGAGTGAAGATGAGCAACTAAACCAGATGTGGTGGCAGACTCGTAGTTGTCCTGCGGCTCGGAACTAGATGAGAGTGAAAAAACTGAATTAGATGTAGCGGCAGACTCGTTGTTGTTCTGCTGCCCAAAAACAGAAGAAGAAACAATGCCCAAAGATGTGTTCTGTCTTTTGATGCCTTTGGAAAACCTTACTGCCTTGTGAGAGGGGTGAAGTGGAAAAAGATGCGATTGAGAGCGTTCGCTGCTCTCCTTGCTGTTTTATAAGTGTGTTGACCATCTCCAAACAACAATGATGTAGGAGGTGGAAGTGATGCCCTTTTTTCGTCCGGAAATGTATTTCCATGCGAGTGGTTCGCCTGGATTTAACTTGCTGATGCGACGTAGATACGTGTTGCGCAAGCGCTCTCGGAGTAGGAGGAAGAATTGGCTCCTTGTCCGTTGCATTTCTGCCTCACGGTCGGGCGTCGGTAACTGCAGGTAGCGGGCCTTGCTGTCGGTGGCAATCCGCTTTGATTCCATGAGAGTGTCGTCCCAAAGCCTGGGACCATCCTTGTGCATGCCGCGGGGGCGATGTCGTCGATACGAAGTAATAAGCGCTCTCGTGAAAGCTTTAATGCCGGTGGACTGCTTTTTATAGTCATATGCCGGAAGTTGTGCGTCGAAGTCCTTGATGAATAAATCCCATTTACACTTCCCCAACTGTAGAACGTCTTAGGTGCCGAAGGGGGTGCCGAAGGTATGGTATCCATAAATGCCTGATGCAGCGTAAATGTTAGCATATAATGATCGCTGAGTGGCGACACAGAAGCTGACCAATCTGACACAGTCAAATGCTTTGACCATGTCAGATCGATACAGGATCGTTCTCTTGTGCCACGAACATACGTGATCTCACCAGGGGTGTTAACCAAGGTGAGTCCCGCATCCGTGCACAGTTCTAAAAATTCTGCAGCAACCTCGCTTGGAGAAGACTCCAAGAATGGCTCCCACTGTGGGTGATGCATGTTGAAATCCCCGCACAGCAGGAGCGGCGACGAGGCTGGAAGGCAGTTAATAACCGCCTGAAGGATTGCGTTACTTGCGGTGGTGGTCTCATATAGGCACTCGCGACAATAAGATCACGGTTCTGGTCCAGAGCAACCTGAACCACCACCACTTCAAGGCTGGTGTCGTGCTGAGGGATGGTGGGGGGCGGAAAAGAGCGATAAGGCTAAGCGTACCGCGCGCCTCGGCCTGCATGATAAGAAAAGGCTTCCTCTCCCATTTCCCTCCGGCAATTTTAACGTCGCCGGAGTCTGGAATAAAAACGGCTTCCCATCCATGGAGCGATGCATCCGCGATGATGGCGGCTGATGCCTTTTCGGTGGGCTTGTTGTTTCGCTTACGATTGTTCTCGATGATTTGTCGTAATCTCTCGCCCAAACCAGCCACTGACGGCGGAAGGTTCGCCGGGGATGTCTCCAGCACAATCCCCCGGTTAACTGCCCATAATCGTCGTCGCACTGCCTTGATGAAAAAGTGGTAGTCGCATAATTGCGTGCCCAAAATGGCAGCCGCATACAAAAAGCTTGACGCCATAACCTCCATTTCCGCGATGGTTAAAGAATTGGGCGCTGACATGGCGCGCACAGAGCGGACAAACTTGTCACTCAGGGATACCGCACGGTGAGTTTAATCAAATTGCACCCACAGAAAGGTGTAATGCGCAGGGCCCGATTCGCGGTCCTCCCTATCGTAGCGCGACAACTGTCCGCATTACGAAGCACTTGGGCTTCCCACAATGTCGCACCGCTTTTCGACCCTGCAATGCGCATATTATCGATCCAAACGTCGACACGCACCAATGGAGGTGCAGCCCAGAGGGGGTGAACCACCGTCGTCACCCCCGCAATTGCCGAAGTAATAATAATCTGGAGAATTTCTGGGCTGACCTTGTATCCGATTGGGAGCCGTGTCGGCTCCACCAGCGTGCCGTCCTCCACGCGGCATCGAAAGAGATGCCGAGTCTCCCGCGGTAAAGAGACTTGAAAAAAGGATGCCTTTAATTCCAGGCAGGAAGCGGCCTCAGCTATCACAGGCGGCAAATAATGGGAGATATGTAAAAGAGGAACATTCGCCTCATAAGGGACGTCTCTGTTCTTGTCGCGCGGCCACGCGATCCATCGTCGTCGTAAACCGGTGGTTTTCTCCTCCACAACCAAAAAAGGTATTATCCATCCGACTGTTCTTGCAGAAAAAGCGTCCTCGATAATTCCTGCTTCCTTTGATAATCGCGCGTCGGCTGCTGGAATCCTCCGTGGAGTTTCGCGCGCCTTACCGGAGGAAGGCGGAGGGAAATGGGACCGCCCGACGCGTCCCCAAACTTGCATGAGTCTCTCCAAGGTAGCCGGTCGCACCCGGCTCATGATCCAATTTGGTATTCAATACGGGCACGTTGACTCGCTGTAGCGGGATGGTTCGTGTTCATCTTGTGGAGTGGTCAGACGCGTCCTTGTCGCGCGTCTCGTTATTGTAGCAGCATGATTGTGATTAAAATAGTGGAAAAATGCTCCTCTGCTCTCAACCACGGTTACTGCCCTTCCGCAGTGTCTCCCTTCACATCAATGCGACCAGCGACGACACTTGGGTCAGCATTGTGGTGTACTTCCACAAATATCGAACCGTATTCTGGGGAAGGTCGAACGGATTGACGTGCTTCACCAACTGCGAGATCACGTGTGGGTCAAAATTGTGCGTCCCCACGGTTTGAGCAGCGTGCCGCAACGCACCGCGTTTCGTGGAATGCGCCGTGGCACCCCAAGGAGCCAGAGCTCGTTCGACTTTGGCAGCCGTCAGATTCGTAAGCTTTCGTTGTTTCAAAGTGTCCTGCATAACTTTATAATGTCGAACGCGTCCTGCCCTCGTATCCTGACGGACCGAAAGGCGCAGTGGGGATCCGCTCTCGCCGTCTTCGGCGCCACGGACCAATCCAAAATTAAGGCCCCGTCCGCCTCCAGTGTGAAACTGTTGGGAGTCAAGGATGCAATCTCAAACCAACAGCTCGCCGTTATCCACGCAAGTCGTAAGACAACACGTTCCTTCCAATCGGTCCGGCTGCGGATAACTTGATTCATCTCTTCCTCTGTCAAGGGGCGCGCCTGTTTCGTCTCCGATCGCGCCGCAATTTTTTGTAGCCCCAGAATCACCATGCCCAGCGGGGTTGAATTCATTCCAACATAGACCGCAGCATCCTGGCGTGCTGCCGTCGGGTCGATGGCGCCACATCTAATATTGCCATCAAAAGGCCGCGCAGCTCTCCTCGTTGATCGGCTGTTCGTGCGTGCGGCATAAGGTTGTAAATTGCGTGCTAGGGACATTCCCCGCTCCCACGCTGACGGCGCACACATTTCTCAAGCCACCTCGTTTGCTCTCCTCATATTGGCCCAAAGCGGAGATGTCGGTGATTCTTCGTACCACAGTCGAGCGTCGTTGGCGGATAAGCTCCATTGCCCTTGTCGATTGCGTCGGGCGATTTGAAAGATCGGGTGGAGCGTCGGCGGTGCGGTGCGACTCCATACAGGAAGGGATGGGGCTGGTTTCTTCCGCCTTCATAAGCGGCCGGCAGCCCCTCGCCGTTTTTTGGCGGTCGTCCGTGCTGCAAGTCATTTCTTCTGGCTGGGCTGCGCACGTTGCATGTAGACGCGTTGTGTCCACAAATACGACACAATCGGCATCGCAACAGTCGTTGTTGTTGTTGTTGTTGGGTGGCTCGCCGTTACGCGAGAGGCTGGGTTGCCCTCGCGAGGGTGTCGGCCCCGTGAACAGCCATGTGAAGGCGGTCGCGAAGTTTGGAGAGCGGGATGCCGGGATCGGACGCCATCATGAGCTGCATCCGGAAGGTCCGCAGTAGGGCCCTGCCAAAATTCATGAGCTGATCGGTGGGATCCCGAGCTATCTCCAGTGCGCGCCTGCACAATACCAAACCGTCAAAGGCAACTTGAACCTGAGCGTCCGCCTGGTGCCAATAATAACTGTATGTGCATCGGAGGTCGACGAGGAGGACACCGGAGACGCCCTCATTCCATACACGCGGGACCAAAGTGGCGACGCCGAATGCAAGAAAATGCAGTAACTGATTCTCTGGACCGGAGTCATCTTCCAAGGATGAAGTGCGGGAGGGCAAAGGCATCGAGTGAGGGAGATGTGGTCTCCCCACATTGCCCTGAGACGTTTGGGTGTTGACCCGCCGTCTCTCTCCCGTGAGAGTGCGTTGGGGAAACGTGGATGCTGGCACGCCCCCAGCCATCAAACGATGCGGTTGGTGTGGCCGTGTGTTGATGCCATCGTCGCGCATGCATGCGTGGGGGCTCATCTGGCGGCCCTCTCCGAGAGGTGGGCGCTTCTCGTTGGCACGGCGTCTCCGTCCCGCAAGAAGACCGCCGGCCACCGCAATGTGACATTCGCGCGCCGACAAGTAATTATGCGCCTCTTCCACCTGCGAGTAAAGCTGCGCACGCCGATTCCGAGCGTCGGCGAAGGCGTTGGCGTGGTCGGTGCTCAGTCTCCGCCCTTCCAGCAATGGTCAGCCCTTTCTGGACCCCCAACCCCCGGGCAGCCCGCACACGATGGGCAGGAGCAATTGAGCCTCGAAATTTGGTACTTGAGGCGTCCGGAGACTCTCAATACTTCCCGCAATACTTCGCATCCTCCCTGTGCTTGGCGATGGTTCCTGAAAGCAAGCGTAGGCCTGCCATTGTTGCAGCGACGGTCACCACCGCATCCAACGGCCCGTGTTCATCGATAAAAGTGAGCTGCACCCGGACATCGCCGTACTGGCGTACCAAGTCCAACAGGCGGGCTCCAATGTCGCTCCACTCCGTCGCCGTGTCAAAGAAACCACTGTCATTTCCTTCAACCAGCTTGCGGGGATACCGTGTGGTTGTAAAAAAAATAATTATAAAGCGTCCAGGCGTCATTGGTTCCCTGATTCCTTTATTCGCGGTCAGTCAAAAGTCCATAGAATAGGGGCGAACGGTCGTACAGAAATATATCTCCGTTTCATCAGGACACATATACATTAGGGACGCCAGCTTGCCCGCGAACATTCTTTTCACAAGCTCCTAAAGAAAGACGGTCCGGAGGCAGCGAGCGGCCCTGTCGGGTGGCGGGGGAAAAACCGCGGTGGGAGAAGAGAAGCGCCTTTCGTTTTTTAAAAACCACAGGTGTTAAAAACGCTGCCGAAAAAGCCCGGGGCGTGTTGCGAAAGCGGCCCGCGCCACACGGGGACGAGGCGCCGCGTGCTTCCGAACCCGGCGGCTACGGGGCGTGTGGTTCTGTCTGCGGAATGGAGCGTGAAGGGGCTGTTTCAGCTTTGTTTGCTGGTGTCGTCGGCTCCGTGAGCGTGCTGTGTGATTAATTCTTGGCTCGGTCGATCGGGGGTGAGTGAGTTGGATTTTTTTTTTTTTTTTTGTTTTTGAGGTTTTTGGATCGTGTCATTTTTGTTGTCTTAGCTTTTTTTGTGAGTCTGTTCTGCTCGCGGGCGTGTTTGCAACGTGGAACGGTGTCTTGTGTCTGAATATTCTCTGTGAAAGACATTGAGTGAATCCATTGTGTGTGTCTATATATATACTTTTTTGCTATTGGTATTCGTTTTCAAATTGTTGTGAGAACACGTGGGGTCATATTTTTTCTTTATAAAGGTAGAGCAGAAACCCGCACTAAAAGAAGAAAGTTTTTTTTTTTTCCGGCATTGATTTCTATTTATTATTATTTTTACTGTTTCAGAATGTATCGTTTATTCTCGTGTTGCAAGACAAATGAACTGAAACGTTTATTTTCCCATGCCTTAGATGCTTCTATAAAAAATGAGGGAGTGGCTCAGCAGAGGAAACGCCAAGTATTGCCCCGTCGTCATCGCAAGCTTCACAAGCTAACGATTCGTGAAGAAAATGAGGAGGGACTCCGTGACTTTTTGCCTCCGAAGCCTGTGGTTCCCGCGGGATGGAAGTTGGAACATGTAAAAGGCAGCAACAGGTTTGATCTCCGAAAATCAGTAGAGATTCGTGATTGTGGCAAAGAACATTTACATGCTGTAGCAATGATGGAGGTGAAGGAATACGAGGGAACGTATCGTATGGACAATGGAGAACGCGAAGAGGAGGAATATTTATTTTTCACATTATTTGTTCAGAAAAATCGCTTTCCGGGTGCTTTGGAGTTTGGATTGACTTCCATTGACATGGAGTTGGTGATGGATTCATTGGCAATTCACAATAACAGGGAAGAATTAGAGGATGCTTATGGTGCGCTTTCAGTGAGCACGAGCAGGAATGGTACTTCCAACAGGATTATCGAAAAGAGTAATCTTTCTTGTCGAAGCTGCAGAGATAATCGATATCGTGGACCAATGCTGAGTGAGTTGGATGATGACTTTTCCGACGAGATATTGGACTATCTTGATGAGCGTGGTGTGAACAATGGGTTTGCTGAGTATATGATGGCTCAGGCACACTTTTTTGAGCAAGAGGAGTACATTAATTGGATACGCCTTTTGAGACAATTTGCCCAATAATCTTTTTTTTTTTTTTTTTTTTTTTTGACTTTTGTTGAACAATCGAGCCGTGGAATGACGAGAATGAGATGGCAGTTAATATGCTTGCGAAGTATGGAGGGAATAATTTTATTTTATTGTGAGTCATTGCTTTTATTATTATTATTATTTTTCTTTAATATTATATTTTGTAAGAAATCTGGGTATTTGTTTTTCTAAACTGAGCACATATATATATAAGAAAAAACAAAAAAATAAAAAAAAAAAAATAAAAAAAAAATAAAAAAAAGAAGAGATGACACGCAACATTTTTTCACGTAGTTATATCTATCGTAGCTACCAGAGGGGTGGTTGGTGTCCTGGGTCGAAGCATCAAAAGCATATGACTATGAATCCGACATTGTATTTGTACCGATTTCCCGGTCCACGAGGGCCAGGGCCATATACTATGAAATATTGGTGGACTCTAGGATGTTTTCCTACTGGCAGAGAAACACCATTCCGTTTACAGGAATTCTTGTTAGCATATCAGCAAGAGCACGTACCGATTGAAGTAGAGGAGTGGCTTTGTTGTTTTGTAAAAGACCCATTGGAAGAACTTTGTGACGCTTCCAAAGATTTGTTTGATGCGGTTGAAGCGTTTCCAGAAATGGAACCCACGCGTGGTTATAGAGCAGTTAAACCAAGCGTCACGCCTTTACTTGCGACAATAAAGAAATTTGAGAGGCAACTTGGTTTTAAAATTTCCCCTACTGGACTTCGTGCTGTGGTGTCTAATACCTTGCTAAAGGAAAGATTTTTGGATGATTTGTTTGAATACCGGAAATTGATTGAGAGAGAAGGAAGTACACCACACCGCCGTTTGGCTAGAGAAAGTCTGGAGAAATTGCTGCCTGGGAGAGAGGACGAAGAATCTTGTGTGACTGCACAAAAGGTCGATATGGTTGGTAAGGAGTTAGGTAAGTTTGTAGGAGCTGTGGCTTCTCCCCCAGATACCACTGCGGCCGACGAAAAGAAATTAATTTGCTTGTTAACAACTATTTCTGAGGGCTGTGTCGATCTTGGCCATTACGATGATGCAAGTTCAATGTTGGCGGATGCACTGCTTTTTTGTCATGATTCAGATACAAAGGCTGCTGCACATGCAAATTTAGCTATTAGCTCTCTCTTGAATGGGAAATTTAGACAGGCCGAATACAATGGAAGGGAGGCAGCACTTTTGCAACCCGAAGCGAAATCGGTTTCCGGTGCAGGGGCCAAGGGTCACGCAGTGTGGGCTGCTGCTGTAGCATACCAAGATGATATTGACAAGGCTGAAAGAATTATAAATGATGCACTTTCTTTGTATTCAAGTAATGAAGCAATTAAAGAGATGGCGAAACAGATCCAAAAAATGCGTGTTGCACAATCATCTTTTTCTTCTAATGGGGAAGTTCCAGAAACTTTGAGAGGAAGCAGGTATTATTTGCCGTCACAGCAGTCACAAGCTCTTGCTAGGGGGAGTGGAAAAGGGTTTGATAATGAATTTGATTGGGCATTGTTTAAGAATAAACTCTATCCAAACAAAATGGACCCAACTACCAACGAAATGGGTTCTGTTTTTCGTCGTGTGGGTGATATGGGGTTGTTTATTTCAAGCTCAAGATCCATGGAGCCACTGTAAAGTTGTGAAGACCATATGCTTGCGTATATTTAACGCAAGATTGTTGAGATATATTTACCTGACAAGGCGAAATACTAGTTAATAGATAATGGCGCCCTGGTAGCAAGATTTTTCTTCTTGTTTTTCCCGACTTTTTTTTTTCTTTTGTAAACTAAATACATTTTAATTGTTTTGTCTAGTTATAAGTGAAATTTTTTTTTTCTCTTTTAAAAATTAAGAACCATGCCCATTTCTCCAGCTGAAGCCTTTGAGGAACGTCACCTGCAGCGCGATGATGGAGAAAAAGTCATTCCTCCATCTCTGGCACTTGTTGCTGCGCTTGAATCTGGATACCGTTTTAAGCTATCCTCTATAGAAGAGGCCACTGATTCCGCAAGGTATCCTGGATTTTTGACAAGGGACGAATTTGTTTCGCTTTGTGAAAAAAATCCTAACAATTGTTTGGACGCAAGGATGATGGCGAAGCACGTTTCTGTGCTTGCACCGAATGGGTTATTCACTCGCGTTTCTCTTCAGGAGATTGCCGCGAAGACAGGTTCAAGTCAGGATGCACTGAGCGCTGACGAAATTGATGCGCTCTTTGACGTTCTAGACAGGGAAAACACCGGTTCTATTCCTGCTGAAAGACTAATGGAGGCCATGTATGGAGATGAAGGGAGGGTGGCCTTGGGAAAACAGAGGAAAGAGTATGCGGCTGCGAAGGCAGAAGAAGAAAGGCAACGTACTCTCAGGGAGGCGGCAGCGGCAGCGGCAGCGGCAGCTCCTAAAGAGTCTGTCCCTGCTGCTGCTGCGCCTAAAAAGGAGGAGCCCACATCGCCACCGCCACCGCCACCGCCACAACAGAAAAAGAAGACTATGTGTGGATGCTGAAAAAATATTTCGTTATTTACTTTTCAGAAGCCACTGAATGATATAAAAGAGCAAGTGAGTCGACCGGGAGAAGGGGTGCACTTATTTTTCTTTGAAAGTCGTGCTACTGTCAAAAAAAAAAAAAAAAAAAAAAAAAGAAAAGAAAAAAAAGAAATAATACCATTTTATGATTATTTGCCTGCTTTGGCGGTAAGTAAAACACAAGGTAAAAAAATTGTTTTTAGTGTGGATAAAAAGGAAAACTGAAAGAAAAAAAAAAAACATGAAAAAAAAAATGTAATAGCACTAGCATAAAGAGAAGAAGAAACAGAAGTACATTTATGTATGCATTTTTTTCCTTATTACTTCTGTGACGCAGATTTTGAAAAAAAAAAAAAAAAAAAAAATGAAGGCAGGCAAGATAATCCTTTTTTTTTTTTTTATCTTTCTGTTGAATGACGCAGGCGTATTTAACTCAAATCTTTTACCTGTTTTTTTTTTTTTTTTCTTTTTTGAATTCTTTGTAGTGGGATACAGTTTCTGAATAGGAGTATTCTATTCGATACAATCCATGGTTTACTTGACGCGCTTGGTGCGGAGGGTTCACAGAGGTCCAATACGCAAAATTTTTTCTTATCCACTGAATGAGGTTAATCCAGTTGTTTTTTTTGAAATTACAGTGGAAGGGGATGCATTGGGCCAGGTAACTATAGAACTTTTTCATGATACGGTACCTAAAACTAGTGAAAACTTCCGTTCACTATGTACGGGTGAACGGGGTGTTATTCAATGCCCTTTGTATTACAAGGGGATTCCATTTCATCGAATCATACCTGGGTTCATTGTGCAAGGAGGCGACATTTTGACAAAAGATGGCCGTGGCAATGTTAGTGTTTTTGGATTTCCCTTTTCAGATGAAAGTTTTAAAGGAAAAGCAGGAAAACATCTTCCAGGCACTGTCGCCATGGCTCACAGCGGTCCCAATCAAAATGGCTCGCAATTTTTTTTTAATATGAGAAGGAATGAACATTTGGATGGAAAGTACGTTGTATGCGGACAAGTATTAGAAGGTTGGGATCTCGTAGAGCGGGTGGCTGCGTTGTGTGGCTCACGTTGTGGTGTGCCAGTGAGTCGTGCGTGGATCACGGATTGCGGGCAGAGCAGCGGTGCAAAGCTTGAGGAAGCACAGAGGGCTCTTTGTGGCGAACGCGCCTTACACTCTATGCCTGGAAAGGAGGTTTTAGACCTTATTTCCCCGCGATACTAGGGTTACGACGATTGAGCTTTTTTTTTCTTTCTTGTGTGTTTTGATTTGTCTTACATGTTTCTGTTTTTAACCGATTCTGCATGAAGACAGCGTTTTGCTTTATTTTACCTTCTTATTTTTTATAGAAAAGGAAAAGGTGTTTATTTATTTATTTATTTTTCTTCTCGCAAATGAAAAGGAGGACCACAAGAGTTGAAAGAAGGATAAGGGCAATCCACATCAGTGGTGGAACTTTCGAGGCACTCCCTAGAGCCGCACGAGGCCCTTGGGGTCGTATGGGAAACAAAGAAATTAGGGATTGCATGTTTCACCTTGTTGCTGAGGCCGCGTCGAAATACTTAAGAGAGGGATATAGCATGCTGAGCTCTGAGCGTCTTGCAGCTGAGATGGGTCTGGCGGATATGAAGCGTGTTTCTCTTTCTTTGACTGAGCCGCTGAAAACCGTGGCAGATGCAGAAACCAGTGTATCCTCGGCTGGGGATTCTGACAGCGTTGCTGAGCGGGTCAAAAATCCCTTCCAGGGCAAGAAAGAGGCTAAACGTGCCTTTTCAAGTATCCTTCTTCAAAATGACATATTGCTTCGCGTACTAAGCTTTTTGTCATGGCGTTGTGTGCTGCAAGTGAGAGGAGTAAACAAGCAGTTTCTTTTTCTCTCTTTTTCTTTTGTGACTGTGTGCCGAATTCCTTACAGCGAAATACCCGGTCTTTTTATTCCCTGTCATGAGGACCTCATGGTGAATGAACGGAAACTGGAAGCTCAGCTGGCTCCTGCGCGTGGATTATGTGCATGCTTGGAGTATGGACCTATGCCGGGTTCTCCCTTGGCGTGCAGCAAACCATGTAGCGAGTGCTCAACTTGTTCTGACAAGCGCATGTTCATTGGTCAGCTTCGCCGTGATGGTACAGTGCCCATGATCAAATGGCTCTTATTGACGGTTTTACAATTGCCTCCCAAATCTTTTGTTTCTGTAGAAAACCACCGAAACAGAACTTCTAAGAGGGGAAAAGGATGTGTGTGGTTAACCCTGAGAGACGATGCGACGACAGTTCTGCTTTCCTATCATCATCGTGTCTTTTTTGACAGCGTGATGAATGTGGAAGGAGTTTGGCTGGTTCCCCCCAGATGCAGAGAACAGTTGGCAGCCCTCGCCAATACCCGAGGAACTCTAATAGAAAGATCAAAGCACCTACCACGTGGCACACTGGTGGTGGAGATGCCAAATTCTGTGTTTTCCCCCATTACGGCGTCGACAACGCAGTCTTTTTTGTCAATAAACCAAACTTCTGCGTCTCCATTTCCATCTCCGCCGCCTCCAGTCCCATTTTCAAATTTGCAAGCTTGCCGGAAATTACGAGGGATGTGGCGGTATGATCCCTATTCTTTTACTTCTCCGGTTTTCTATATTATTCCACGTTAATAATTGCCTTTTTTTTTCTGCTTCCTTCCCTACCCCATTACAATTTACTCTACCCTTTTTACCTAAAAATTCGTAAAGGAGTGAGACTTCTTGCGCGTTGAGAAGTGATATATATAAAAAAAAAAAGAAAGAAAAAACTGAATAAACCTTTTTCCCTTACTGATTGGGGAAAATATAAACTGTCTTGGCTTATTCAAACAATCAATCATGCATCATATTCGAGTATTCTAAGGAAAATAAATCCAAGAAAACCAATATGTAGATATGGCTCATGGAACGATGAAGAGAAGTGGCAACGATAATGGTGCATGATGTAATTTATACACATCGACGTGAGGCGCCAATATCAAAACTTGAATATGGACGGATTGAATAATTGATGAAGAGTTTTTAACTATGTGTGGTCGCATCTCGAAATCAGTGGTGAAGACTATGGGGTGTCATCTCCAGCAAGCTATCGTTCACGGGAATTGTATAGCTTAAATTGAGCTAAAAAAATGAGAACCAAAAAGGCGGCTGGATGAAATAGAGTGGGAAACAAAGTCACTCCCATCAGAGGGAGGAAAAAAAAAAAGAGAGATTGCACATGTTTTTTTTTTTTTTTTTTTTAATATTGATGAGTCGGGAATAGCCTGTATTGCAAGCAAAACTCATATTAAGCGTTTTTTTTTCTTTTTTTTTTGACTTTACTATTTTTACTGCCTTTTGTGTTTGATCATGGTGAAAGGTGGCTTTCATGAAAAAGCTATACTATAAATCGATACAACTGACAAAAGTTAGCAGTTCCTTTACCTCTGTTGGAATGAATCTATCTATGTACATTTATACTCTATGATTTACTTTAATTTTGAGGCTTATATACCCCGCTAGGATGTATATATAAATATATAAATATATAAATATATAAATATATATATATATATATATGTTATAATATTTATCTTGGTTTATGCGTATGCTTCTGCTCAAAAAGAAATAAGTACCAGGTTTTTTTTTTTACATCTTTTTTTTTTTTTTTGTTGTTGTTGTGTGCGTGTGAGTGAGGGATATCTTTGACTAGATTTTGTACGAGCACCTGCTTTTCTTTTATTCCAATTATTATATTAATTGCGAGTTGCGCAAAACGGGGAACGACGAAAAAAAAAAAAAAAAGGACCGTAAAAACGGCACCACATAAATACCGCACGAAGAAATGGTGCCGGATTTATCACCTAGATGAAAATAACAATGCGAGAGAAATAAATGAATTTGAGTGTGCGGTGTGAACTTCTGCGCCCGGTCTGGCAAAAGAATATACGCGCTCATTTCTGTTGCACGCAGGAGCTGCACGGAAATGAACAGACACGGAGGGATAAAGAAAAAAAAGGGAAAAAAAAAAACAAGGGGATGGGAGAGGGAAAATAAAATGTCTTATTGGGGTAATGGCATAATTTGATCGCAGGTCCCTCCGCTAATACTTCTGACTCTCGCAAAGAAAAAAAAGAAATTTGACGACAAAAACAACAGCATTCACAAGTGGAACTCAATTTGCGCTATATTATCTTTTCTTCTTTCTTCTCTTTCTTTTTTTAAGCACAGTTTAGGTTCTGTGGGAAGAGTGAACTTCAGGAGATTCCCTCACTCCTTTTTTGGTATTATTATTATTATTTTTTTTGTCTGGTGCTTTCACCAGGAGGACTTCTCGTTCGGGGCGGAGCAATTGGCATAAAAGCACCTGAAATCGAATTTCCCAGGGAAGGGAAAAGAAGCAAGAATCTACGAAGTCAAAAAAAAAAAAAAAAAAAAAAAAAAGATTAAAAAAGAAGGGGGGCTCATTATACGTTTAGAACGCAATCAAAAAAGTACGATAAAAAGAAATGCCGGCGAATGACTGCGTACTTATGGACAAAATCATCGAAGGGGATGGTAAGACGATCCCACGCCAAGGAAGCATTGTGACTCTTGACTACGTCGGTTTTTTGCCTGATGGAAGGAGGTTTGACTCCACCATCGAGCGCGGAAAGCCTTTTGTGTTTCGTGTAGGATGTGGCGAGGTCATTAAGGGGTGGGATGAGGGGATTGTGCAGATGTCAAAGGGCGAGCGGAGTCGATTGACGATACCACCTTCTTTGGCATTTGGATCCACTGGTTTTCCTGGTATGATCCCCCCCGACACTGTCATTGTTTTCGAGGTGACACTGCTGGACGTTGCTTGACGGCTGCGCGGGGGTGCGGGCACACGCATATGTAAACTTACAAGACTCTGGGGTGGGGAGGAGCGACAGGAGAGAGGAGAATATATATATTTTACTTCCTTTTTTTATTTTTGTTTTTTTTTCCCTTTTTCCTCTTTTTTCTCCATTTTACTCTACCAGCTTAAGAAAACGAAAATCTTGCAAACGAGAGGATGTGCATGTGTGTGTCACTTCAAATCTTCAAGAAGTGCATAGGAGGAATCGGTGTGGTGAAATTTGGCAAAGGAAGAAAAAGAAACGTATGAGTTTTCCTTGTTGTTATATCTTGATTTCTTTTTTTTTTTTTTTTTTTTTATTTGGAAAAAAATTTCAGGATAATTGCACGAAATGCTGTCAACTGACACAGCGACGACGCAGCCAGAGAATGAAAATAATGGCGCAAGTAACGTTGCCATCCCATCTAGTGGTGTGAAAAGGTTCGCTTTTATACAGCGGTGTTATTTTAACGAATTCATGTCCGCAGTGATTGTAGAATTTATAGGGACCTTTTTATTGGTGCTTACCGATCCTCTTAGTGGCATCAACAACCCTGAGATGGCTCCTTTTTCTGTCGGTTTTATGCTTATGTCACTGGTGTTCTCCTTTGGCTACATGAGCGGAGGACACCTGAATCCAATGGTCTCTTTTGCGGTATTTCTCAGCTCTGCCAACTTTGGAAAGACCCGTATGCTGTTTTACTTTATTGCACAGATGCTTGGTGGGGTTGCTGCTGCTTTCTATTGCGTCCTGATCCATGGCAATGAATTTCCCGTACCTAATATGGGTCTGGACTTTTTGCAAATGCTGCGGGCATTTTTGGCTGAAAGTGTTTTTACTTTTGTATTAACGTCTGTCGTTCTCCATGTTGCTGTCAGCAAGCAGCGCAATAATAATTTCTACGGTTTTGCTATCGGATCTGCGGTACTTGTGGGCGGATTGACGTGTGGATCGATTTCCGGTGGGGCTTTCAATCCTTCCGTCGCCACCGCTTTGATAGTTGTCCGTTGCTTTGTTTCCTTCTCAGAGTCAGGTTGCACACCTATGGCATCGCTGTGGGTGTATTGGGCTTCTGAGGCGGTGGGGTCGATAGTCGGCACCATTTTGTACCTTGCGGTGCAGAACGTGGAGGACCGATTTTGAGAAGAAACAAGAACGATCACGGCAAGAAGAGGGGTTAAAAACAACGCAGAGGAGAGGCGAGGGATGGCATTGCCGCTTTCTCTAAGGAACAGTCTGCGTGGAATCTGGTGAACCAGCCTGAGTGGGCTGGCGAGTCATTCCGGCTCAAAAAGGTAAGAAAAAAAGGTACAGTCAAGAGTTCATTTTTCTTATTCTTGGTTACTACTGGATAATAAGACATCTTTTAATTGTGAATTTCTTGCGTCCTTATAGCGTTTACTTTTCCTTTTCTACGTGTAGGGATCGGAGATTAGAAAGACGCTTTACACATTCTTAAAAAAAACCATTTGGTCTTTTTTGTGACCTTTTTTTTTTTTAAATTAAAGCAAAAACGAATATCGATGGCGGCTCTTACTGACGAACAGATCCGTGAGGCGTTCAACCTCTTCGACGCCGACGGCTCTGGTGCCATTGACGCGGAAGAGATGGCGTTGGCAATGAAGGGGCTTGGGTTTGGTGACCTGCCACGCGACGAGGTGGAGCGTATGATCCGCACAATGTCTACGGACTCCAACGGCCTGATTGGGTATGGCGAGTTTGAGCGTGTGGTGAAGTCGCGCATGGCGCAGAAGGACTCACCGGAGGAGATACTGAAGGCGTTTCAGCTGTTTGACCTCGACAAGAAGGGAAAGATATCGTTTGCTAACCTGAAGGAGGTGGCCAAGCTGCTGGGTGAGAACCCCGGGGACGATGTGCTGCAGGAGATGATTGCGGAGGCTGACGAGGACGGCGACGGCGAGGTCTCTTTCGACGAGTTTAAGAACGTCATGATGCAGATGCGAGGAAAGTAGAGCATTTGTATTAATATAAAAATACAAACGGGTACAGACCGCGACCAAATATTCTTATATATATATATATTGTCTATTGCCCAAATTACGAATCCGTGAGGCAAATTATTAAAGGGATTTGGAGACAAGAAAAGGTTCTTCTGCACCAATTTAAAAAAAAATTTTTTTCTGTCTGATGCTACTTTTTGCACTTTTAGGAGGGAAGAGAAGGTGAAACAGATGAGATTGCCTGTATGGAATTTTCTGCTTTACTACCGTAATCTGTTTCAATATGTACTGTCTTTTTTCAGCTTGCACGGAAAAAACTGCCAGTGATTTTTATTTTCCTTCCCATCTTTTACACTTCTCTATCTAATAAAATGGCCGTGGCACACCATTTGCCCTTCTGCGCGTAGGGATCAGGGATTAGAAAGACGCTTTACACATTTCTAAAAAAAACCATTTGGTCTTTTTTGTGACTTTTTTTTTTTAAATTAAAGCAAAAACGAATATCGATGGCGGCTCTTACTGACGAACAGATCCGTGAGGCGTTCAACCTCTTCGACGCCGACGGCTCTGGTGCCATTGACGCGGAAGAGATGGCGTTGGCAATGAAGGGGCTTGGGTTTGGTGACCTGCCACGCGACGAGGTGGAGCGTATGATCCGCACAATGTCTACGGACTCCAACGGCCTGATTGGGTATGGCGAGTTTGAGCGTGTGGTGAAGTCGCGCATGGCGCAGAAGGACTCACCGGAGGAGATACTGAAGGCGTTTCAGCTGTTTGACCTCGACAAGAAGGGAAAGATATCGTTTGCCAACCTGAAGGAGGTGGCCAAGCTGCTGGGTGAGAACCCCGGGGACGATGTGCTGCAGGAGATGATTGCGGAGGCTGACGAGGACGGCGACGGCGAGGTCTCTTTCGACGAGTTTAAGAACGTCATGATGCAGATGCGAGGAAAGTAGAGCATTTGTCGTGAGTTTTGTTTTTTTTTTTCTGAGGAGGCGAATGTCAACGAAGACAAAAATAGAGTGGGACACCTTGATTTTTTAATTCTTTTTATTTTACGGAATGCCATTTACTGCGCCGTTTTTTTTTTCTTGATTCTCTTTTTTTAAATTTTTTTTATTCTTGTCACTAACATGTGTGTTTGCTGCTGGTGTGAGTGGTAAGACGAGTTTTCTGTCTTTTTTCCCCCCCTTCTCCTATAGTAGAGTAAGAGACGTGGTTCTTTGCAACGGTGACGACTGCGTTGGCGACATTTTGGGATGTCCACCGCCGCCCATACATGGTCGGCGACATCGTCGGTCTCCATGGGAAGGCCAACGATGTTTAATCCACTTGCGTTTCCGTCGAACGGCGCAGAAATTCTCCGCCAGTCGCTTGAAATGCAGCGAGAGGCGGGGCTGGCCTTTGACATGCGCGACTCTGAAGATGAGGAGAGGATTCAACAAAAGAAGGCGCGACAACAACTTCTTCGCGCTCAGATCGAGCGGCGAAAAGAGTTGGATTTTGTCGACAGACAGGCGTCAGAGATTACACAGCAGCTCCTGGCTAGCCTTGTTGTTGTTATCCGTGAGCGCCAGACCACATTGCGGCCCGAGGGATATCAAACAATTGTCTTTGATAATGGCGACATATACGAGGGTAATTGGAAAGGTAGTCGTATGCACGGCACGGGTTATATGAAGCGAGTGACTGCTAATGACTTGTACGAGGGCGAATGGTTTCTTGGTCTGCGCAATGGTACCGGTTCATGCCACAGTCCTGATTTCGGTACCTTTTATAGCGGGAAGTGGCAGGACGGCAAATGGCACGGTCGTGGGGAGCTGGTAGAGCCGGAGGGCATTTACACTGGGGAGTTTGTGGATGGACATCTGCAGGGGTATGGCGAGTATGTGTACAATGATGGACATGTGTACAAGGGCGAGTGGCTGAATGGCGTGTATGACGGTACAGGAACGTATTTTTTTCCGAACGGCGGCAAGTACGAGGGACAGTGGGTGAATGGTTGTGAACACGGGCGTGGGACTATGACTTATTTCAATGGCGACACGTACACGGGAGAATGGCATCACGGGGACAAACATGGCGTTGGGACATACACAAGTGCCTCTTTGCAGTATGAGGGAGGATGGTATTTTGGATCTATTCGGGGTCGTGGGCAGTGTAAGTATGCGGATGGCTCCACCTACGAGGGTGAGTGGCTCAATGGAATGTATCATGGGAAAGGACAGTTCATTAGTCCTACAAATAGGCAGAGTTATACTGGTGATTTCCGTCATGGCAAACGTTCTGGACACGGCGTGTACCGCTCCGATGAAACGGTGTACGCTGGAGGTTGGCTAGACGACAAGAAGCACGGAATTGGGGAAGTCAAAGTGCGCGGTGGGGGCAAATTTTCCGGAACATGGCGTGATGATTTACCACACGGCGAGGGGGTTTATACAGTGGATACGGACAAAGTTTACGTGCTGTACGACTCTGGGTTGTGTGTTCGCACCTCCCCGGAGGTCATGTATCAACGGTTGAATTTAAGACCGCTGATCTCGGGTGATTAATTCTGCGTGGGTGCATACCGCACCACTCGGACCAGGTATGATGTACAGAGGCTAATATTTTTTATTTTTTTTTTTCTCTACCCATTGTACAAAAGATTCCGTAACCGCATTCGTGCATGTGTCTGTCTGTCTGTGTGTCTGGGGAGGGGGGAATTGCTATTGATTTAATTTTGAATAACGGCTCTTATGCGTCCGTGTTTCCCCTTTCTTTTCCCACTCTTGTGTATGTGTGTTCGTTTGTTTGTACATGGATGCTTGCTCACGTGAGAGTTGGCAATGGAGGCGTCTGCATTTTCTTCAGGCTTCGTTAGTAGCGTGGAAGATTTTCGTGCTCTCTTCGCCCCGAATAGCGACGATCGACTCCTGCTATGTTATGAGGCGTATCATGACGAAGTGACGACGGCGGATTTAACGGCTCTGGAGGATGCTGTGCGCTCTGCTGCTGTGAGGCATGCCACAAAAGTACAATTACACTTTTGGGACTGCGGTAGCGAAGCCTTTTTGGCGGCGAAGGAACAGCTGGGAAAAGTAAGGGGCACGCCGCTGTTGGCTGTGGTGCATCGACAGGCCATTGCAGACACACTTAAAGGACCTGTGGAGGTAATGATAGAAGACGTGGATCATGTCTGCAGGCGCTTGACATCTTATCAGCGTGGTGGGAAGGTTGCGGTGTTTCCAATTTCGTTGCCCCGCACCACCGCTGACGCTGCATGCATATCAGTGGATGTATCGAGGTTGGTGGGGGTGGGCAAGCGACTGATGACGGAAGGCAAGGCGGATTACGCGGAGAAGTTTTTTCACCGTGCGCTCGACACCCTTGACGCGGTTAGGCCACATTGCGACGGGGACGAGAATGTCGACGGAAGCACCGCTCTTTGCTTGGCGTGGGTGGCATTGGCAAAAATGGTTCAGGGAAAGAATGCGGATGTGCAAATGCAGCGTTTAGAAAAAGACTACTCTGCGTTTTGTGGGGAGATTGGCAGCGATGTTGCGCGTGTGCGGGCTGCAAATCGACTAGTAACCGCAGCACCTTTCACGTGGCGCAGTGAAACCTGCAGTCAGAGGAAACTGCGGGAGGCACTGGCCCGAGATCCACAGAGCCACGAGCACCGCTGCGCCCTTGTCGTGACGTTGTTTCTTGCTGGGGACATGGAGCGCTGCTTGACGGAGGCGATCAAACTGAGGACCCTGCATGTCCCTTTCGGCACAACCGCCATTTCCGCCATCGGTGAGTTTATTGGCCGCGACCACGCACTGATGCGGAGCATTGGCATTGACTGTGAACGACCGTCGACAGGGGTGTAGCTACAACGACGCCACACGCATACTTTTTAAAGTTTTGATGCTGTTGTTTTTCCGTCTGTGTGTGTGTGTGTGTGTGTGTGTGTGTGTCTGTTGTTTTGGAATTTCCTCCGTTGACCTCCAATTCTCTTTCTTTCACCTTCCCTTTTTTTTGTTTCTACTGTGCTTTTCCCAAGGTCACGTCGTTTACTTCACACTGTCGAGCACGAGAGCAGGAGGGGAAAAAAAAAAGAGAGAGGGATCCCCCAACAACACAAGTTGTTTAACAAACAATAGGACGGAAAACGACAGGAAGTGAGGGGAGGTGAAGTGCACCAATTAGCTGCAAGCACACCGCCACACAAATCCTGAGGTATATCCCGAAAGAAGGAAGGATAAAAGAAAAAAATATCTACATTGCCAAGAACTCACAGTATACAGAAGAAATGAATCACGATGACGCGATGTGGAACATAATGGGGCAGACCTTCTGCTCATTTAAGGTGAAAACACACGATGAGAAGACGCGCTTCTGCCGCAATCCGTATAATGTGACGGGTTTGTGTCAACGAGGTGTTTGTCCGCTTTCCAACGCGCAGTATGCAACGATCATTGAGCATGAAGACGAGCTTTTTTTGTACATTAAGACCGCAGAGCGTGCCCACCTACCACGTCGTCAGTGGGAAAAGGTTCGACTTGACGCTAGTTTTCCACGTGCTTTGGCACAGGTTGATGAGGAGTTGCAGTGGTGGGACCAGAAAATTGTAAATAAGGTAAAGGCGCGCCTGCTGCGGCTTAAGCAGTACATTATGCGTCGTCGTAAGATGCTGCTAGAGCCCAAGGTGGAGTACGTCTCTGTTAATAAGAGACAAGAAGACAAGCTGTTGCGCCGCGAGGAGAAGGCAGAGGCCGCGGCACGGTTAGAGCTGGAGGTCGAGAAGGAGCTGCTGGAACGACTGCGGAAGGGCACTTACGATAGCGTTATGAACTGTAGCCGCGAGGCTTTTGAGCGTGTACTGGACCAGGAGGAGGATCGGGCGGAGTTTGATGCCCTGGAGGATGAGGAAGACGAGGAGTTCCCGGAATTTGTCATGGACGAGGAAGACGAGGACGAGGAGGAAGAGCCAAGCAAAACGACAGCTGGCTTACGCCCTAGCGGAAGAAGGCCGGTACGACGACAGCGTCTGGTCATTGAAGAGGAGGTTGAGCACGAACAGCAGAAACGCAGCCGGCTGGACGATCTGGACTGGTGAGAGCAAGTTGACGGCAGCCATGAGTTTGCGGCCAAGCGATGAAGCCAAAGAAACACGGACAGGCCCAGTCACATGCGTGCCTAGAAGGAGCGCGTGCATGCGTGAGAGAAAAAGTCGTAATACCGCGATAACATATTAATTTAAGCACGATAAAGGCGAAAGAGGAGAAGATGGGGGATGGGCCTGGGAAGGAAGGAAAAACGAAAAAAAAAAAAAAAAGAAAGGGAAATGATGGTCGAGTGGATGATATAATGCACAATAAATGCTTTGCTCGCAGCCTGTTTTTTTTTTTTTTTTTCTCTTCTTCTTTTTCCTTTTTTTTTTTTCCATCATTATCTTCGTTGCCACCATCTTTTTCTCTCCTTGTCGAGTAATTTGATCTTGTTGCAACAAATCCAGTGTACGAGGAATATACATCCGTTGCAAGCACACAGAGCCTTCTCTATCCTACCTGAGAAGCAGCAGTCGTGGTGCTGCTGCTACTGCTTGTGATGACGAAAGCAAATGGCTTCGGTGCTGCTAGTCATAGTGGGGCGCATGCATTTTTTGCATGCTTACAGTGATCTTCTTGCATCACCTTTTCTTTTTTTTTTTTTTTGCTCATATACATATAAACATATAAATTTCATTTTTTGCTTCTCCTGTATTTTGTACCGCAGCAAGTGTGAATTTTTGCTGTTTGCCAGGTCAACATACGGACCGCGAAATAAAAATTTAGAAGGCAGAGGCGCTGTAATTTCTGCGAAAATTCAACACCTACAACACACAAAAACACACACACTAAAAAATACAAAGTAGAATTACGTTTGAATCAATAACAAAAGCATGCAGGGAGGGTTTGGAGGCACCACCGGCTTTGGACAGACAAGTGGGCTGCGGCCAGGCTCAAGCCTGCGTCCGGGTTCGCAGATGCGGCCCGGCTCGCAGTTGCGCGGGACGCAGGTGGCTGGCGTGGGTGGGAGCCTGCAGCAGCCAGTGGCGATTGCAGCGAAGGCACCAGTGACGCTGGAGGGCATGCGAGCAGCTACGCGGTCTGGAAATGCGGGGCCGGGGCGTCAGGTAGGTGACCGCAGCTACTACATTGGCCTGCTGCGGCCGAAGATCACGGAGCTGACGACGGAGATTCAGCAACTGAACGAGCAGGAGAGTCTCATCGAGAAGAACAGTTCCGTGCTTACGCAGCTGCATCAGCGCGGCAAAAACTTGACGGAGGAGATCACAAAGCTAAAGGGGACCCTTGCCGATATTAATTTGGCTGTAGAGAAGAGTACATCGCAGGATGCCAATAGCGTCAAAGATCAGGCCACGAAGCTCACGCATTTGAATGTTGATCGGCGCAAGCAGGTGGACCAAATGTTTCTTAACGTGAAGGAGGTGGAGACGCAGACGAAGAAGAACCTGCAGATATTGGAAGAGGAGATGCAGCAGCTTGATCGCCGCATTATGGCGGAAAACCAGGACTATAACCTTTACAACACCACACGGAACGAGGCCTATGCTGTTTCAGATGCCGTACTTAACCTTCAGCACCGGGTGCGCACATTGACGGCGAAACAAGAGCTACACATGGCACAGCTCGCCACAGACACGGACAAGAGACGGGCAGCGGAGGTGCTGCGGGAGATCCTGCGCAAACGGCAGCTACGAGAGGAACTCACAAAACAGTGTGCCCTTTCTGTAGACGAGGAGCGACAACTACTTATCAAACAAGTGAAAACCGCCCGCAACGATATTGAGGTGCTGGAGCGTCAAGTGAACGAGACACGCGATGCCCTCGGCGAGTCTAAGAGCCGCTGTAATGCCCTGGATGAGGAGTTAAAAAGCTACAGTGGTGAGAACCTCAAGGCATTTCAAGAGCTACAAGAGAAGGACCGCGAGTTACAGTCCTTTATGGATTCCCTTCCTGAAAGGCAAAGGGAGGAATCCGAAAAGATTGCTACAGTGCAGTCGAACATTTCGTTGCTACTCGAACGCATCTCTCGGGCGCTGGAGCTACAGAAGCAGATGCCGGCTGAGGGTGCATCCCATGCGTTGCATGCGCTAGAGAGCGAGGTGGACGCGCGGCGCAATCAAATCGAGAGTGACCAGGTGACGCATCAGCGCCTTGAAAGGGAGTTGCTGGACCGTAAGATGGAGCTTGAAAAGGTGGAGAACCTAGACATCAAAATCAATGCCGAGCTACAGGCACATGCACGCAAGATGGAAGAACAGTCGCAGGAGATGATCCGATACAGCGACTTGGATGGACTGCGCCGCAATGTTGAAAAGCGCCATGAGGATCTCGTGCGGGAGCGGGCATTTTTGGTGAAGCTTCGGGACTCCAGCAAGCATCAGTTAAACGCCCTTAGCGCGTCCAACGAGGCGCTGCGGAAGCGCCTTAATGAAGAAGCCGCCTTTCGCTCCGTATCGACGCTTGAAGGGCGTCTGCGGCACTTGCGACAATCCAACTTTTCGTTGGAGGAGTTTGTGCGGCTGAAGGGCAAAGAGAGTTATTATCTGGGCGCCAAGACGGACTGCCTGCGCCTTGTAGACGAGATCAACCTGCTGCTGAAAGATACCGACCGCACCCGCGGCATCGGAGGAGGCCCCGTCTTGCTTTTGGGTGAACATTAGCGAAGGAGGAAAATGAGGACGAAAAAGCGGGGGAGGATGAAGGGTGAAAAAAAAAGGGGGTTACAAAAAGAATGAGAAGAAGCTCGGAAAGGGGCAATGGATGGTGGCGTATAACTGCTGCCAACACACACACACTTGGGCAGCAACGGCCTCAGGGAAATGCCGGGAGAAGGACTGGTCTGACGCACCGAGGTGGGGGGACAATGCGTTATCTGCACCAGTGCCGGCCTTGCTGCAAAACCATATATATGTGTGTGTTTGCCCATATGTAGTTTTTTATGTGTCTAAAGGACCATGAGTGGAAAAACAAAGGAAAAATAAATATATATATATATATTTTTTCTTTTTTCCGTTTTTTTTTTTTTTTCCGCTCCTCTTTTACCGCAAGAAAGATGCGCAAAATGGTTTGGGTTGATATTTGTCTGCGTGTGTTTATTGCCCATCGTGTGAACCCCCCTCCGTGAAATGTTGTGATGACCGCTTTTGCGTGTTTTCCCCTTTCTCTTTTTTATTCCACTCCACTCCCTTTTTTTTTTTTGTGTGTGTGTGTTTGTGTTCATTGTTGATTGCGGTACTTGTGCCTGTTGAAATGTGCATATTGCTGCAGCAATAAAAATTATTTTAGATTACTGAATTATTTTTTTATTGTTTATATCTTGCGATGGCGTCCATGGAGCGGTTTTTGAGTGTGTACGACGAGGTCCAGGCATTCCTGTTGGATCAGCTGCAGTCTAAATACGAGATAGACCCAAACCGTGCCAGATACCTCCGCATCATGATGGACACAACGTGCCTTGGCGGCAAATATTTTCGCGGCATGACGGTTGTGAACGTAGCGGAGGGATTTTTGGCCGTCACCCAACACGATGAGGCGACGAAGGAGCGCATCCTTCACGATGCCTGCGTCGGTGGCTGGATGATTGAGTTTCTTCAGGCTCACTACTTGGTGGAGGACGACATCATGGACGGCAGCGTGATGCGTCGTGGAAAACCGTGCTGGTACCGTTTTCCTGGCGTCACGACTCAGTGTGCCATTAACGACGGTATCATTCTGAAGTCATGGACGCAAATTATGGCGTGGCATTATTTTGCAGATCGTCCCTTTTTGAAGGATCTGCTTTGCCTCTTCCAAAAAGTTGACTACGCGACGGCGGTTGGGCAGATGTATGATGTCACCTCCATGTGTGACTCCAACAAACTGGACCCAGAGGTGGCTCAGCCGATGACTACCGACTTCGCCGAATTTACGCCGGCCATCTACAAGCGCATAGTGAAGTACAAGACAACCTTTTACACGTACCTGCTGCCACTCGTAATGGGACTTTTCGTAAGCGAAGCAGCCGCCTCCGTCGAGATGAATTTGGTGGAGCGAGTGGCACATCTGATTGGGGAATACTTCCAGGTGCAGGACGATGTCATGGACTGCTTCACTCCCCCCGAACAACTTGGGAAGGTCGGTACCGACATTGAGGACGCCAAGTGCTCGTGGCTGGCCGTGACGTTCCTGGGCAAAGCCAACGCCGCACAGGTGGCCGAGTTCAAGGCCAACTACGGCGACAAGGACCCAGCGAAGGTCGCCGTGGTGAAGCGGCTATACAGCGAGGCGAACCTGCAGGCGGACTTTGCCGCATATGAGGCGGAGGTCGTACGGGAGGTGGAGAGCCTCATTGAGCAGCTGAAGGTGAAGTCCCCGACATTTG